TAAAGCACTAAGCACCAAACTTCCACTTAAAAATCAGCGCCCGACATGCTCTGTGTTGCATGTACTGTCCCACAGCACAAAGGGCAGTGGTGAATTGTATGGCATTTCTTAGGGGAAAGCTTCCGCCGAAGTACCGACTTGTTTGTACTCAGGAGTTGTAGGTCAGGCATCTTGATTTGAAGAAAGTGAAGGTCTGTATTTTAACAACGACAATAAGCATTCGGAAAACGTAGGTCTGACAGGTCGCTCGGTGGCTGGAGGATGATTACAAAGCTTTTCAGTACTTAAAGCCACAAGCAAAAACACACCTCGAAAGCCACAGTCAAGTCTCACTAAAGCCGACTCTTGCACTACCAATCACCTCCTGTCCGTTCATTACACCTGTAGAAGGCTGAATAATTAGAGGCTACTCGTTCCCACTGTTTGCACAGGGCTTAGACAAGGCTCCTGCATTTTCTGACACTGCAACATCCGAAACCCACAGCCCTGATCCGAAACCCGTAAATTGTGTGGCGAGCTGGTTGGAGAAATTAGATATGCAAAGGCTCGGTATCTGTTCTTACTTTTGCAACTCCCCTGCGCCCTCAGAAGTATAAATTGCATTCCGAAGTCACCTGTCTTTAGTGTTTAATTAGCAGATGACACAGCCTTTCACATCGAATCGGAAGTAGACATAAGATCTGCAAGGAGCAGAAATTTTAGTCTGAGCTGACGCTTGGCCTTTTTTTCCCCAATCCCTGAACACGATGTATGTGTGGCAGATGGTGAACCCCGTTCCCCAGTTGTGACCCAAACCCTAAGCCTTTAAACCATAAGCCTTGAACCCTTGGACCCTAACTCTGAACTGTTACGACCGACCATCTGCAAGGCTCAGCATCTAGGTCCTTTACGTTCCTACGTAACTGCAGCGTCCTCGACAACAGACTCGGACGCTCTAAAACCTCGAAGTCTGAAGCCGAGAGGCAATTCAATCCTCAACCCTTTGATTGATCTTTCATGCTTGCTGCTGTTGTTTGCCATGCTTTTGAGTTCAGGGTAAGGGTTTGGGGCTTGCTTTTTCCACTTGTCGAATGCAAGCCCTGCGCTTGGACGGGTGCTTGCTGCAAGTCAGATGTCACTGTTAGGCTGCCAGACAGTTGGAGATAAACATCCAGCTGGGGCCAAGGGCTTTACGCTTGAGGGTTTAGGTCTTTGTGGCTTCAGGGTTTCCTTTCTGGCGGTCGTCCATCGCTGCATCTGCGCTCCTTGGAAGGCAGTGCTAGCATGGTCTAACATGCACACTTTGCTACTTGTAGAGTGGTCGGTCTTACATGTGTGGGGGCTCTTCTGCAGGTGTTCTTGCATTACGTCAAGGGCCTTGCAAGCTAGGCCCCAGGTTCTCTCCCTGTAGGCTTGGCACCAAGGAGGCTACCTCCGGTAAGGCTCCGGAGGATCTAGGAGTCTACGAAACTTCAGGATGTTCGGCCTTCCAGTGCCAAACTCTGACGACACATCCTCGTTTCACCGAGGGTTTAGGGTTTAGGGTTTAGGGTTTAGGGTTCCTCCAGTGCGACTTTGACTTGGCCGTGAAAGTGGCCGAAAATCAGGGACCCCCGATCACATCGGATCCGTGGTACACAAGCCCCCGAAGCGAAGGCATATGTAGATCGCTGGGAACGAGAAGGATTGGAGAGTTGGGCGCTGCAGGACTGGCCTGCCGCAAGAAGGCTTTGCAGTACAGGAGAAGGCATGCCCAGAACCATCTCCCGAAAACGAAAGCTTTGCAAAATCCCGCGGAAGCACTGAGCCCCCCAAATCGAACCTTAAAATTTCCTGGCCTGCGATCGCTAAAATCATCCCACTGCGACGAGGCACAGCTTCAACACGTCTGCCTCCTGCTCGGGAGTGAAGCCTCGAAACGAGTTTCGGTCGGGCGAGTTGAGGGCTTCAGAAAGGTGTTTCTGAGGTACCGGGGCTTGGGCTTCAAATGACTTGGAAAGAAACCTTAAAACTTTCCTCACGAGCTCAAGGAACCTCCGGCTCCGGACTTCTTGGACTCGAGGCTTAGGGCATAGGCTAGGTGGAAGGGTCAGGCGCAAAGTCGGTACTGTACCACTTGTCAGAGTTAGAGCATTTTCGGGTTCATAAACCTCATAAGCTTCGCAGCCCCATGTGGCAGGGCGTTTTCGGAAGTAAGTTCAAGGTTGCAGCACCAGTTTTGATAACGGTTCTTATAAGGGTACATGCAGGGTGCTATAACGATATAATATAGGGTTGACTGAGGATTTCGGTTGTATTGTCCGGTGTTTATGGAGTTAGGATGTAATTTCTGGGCCTGCTTTGTAGTCTTGGGTTACGGGAGCTAAGGTCTCGGCTTCAGTGTCTGGTCAAGGGCTTAGGAATTTAAGGTTTGCGGTTTGCAGTTCTACCGAGAGCTTGAGTTTTACGGTCTCAGTCCGGTTTGGCTTGGGGTTTCGGGGTACGTAAGCAATGGGGTGCACCATTAGGCTGTGACTGTGAATGCACAACTTCGTCCAAGACAGCGCTCGAAACAACGACGAAAATATGCCAAATGCCACAAGGAAAGCACACCGTCGCACACAACCTCGTGCAACACATATAAATGGATAATCAGAACATACACACCGGCACAGGAAAACACGGGAGCACATCGGCATCGCTATGTGTGTAGCGGAGCCTTGTGGGAGCTTCAGAAAGCCACTCAACCGAGCACAAGTAGACTGTGCAGAAACAGACTAAGACAGCCCTGAACGCAAAACAATTGCCTGATGACCCAAATAAAAGCAAGCCGGCGTATAAGGCTTATGGGACACAGTAAGCAGTAACCATGTACTTCGATCCGGGCCTAACCGGCGCAGCATGTCGAAAGGCTGGAAGAGCCACCGTGCCAGCAGCGTGCCTCTTGAGATATTCAGGCAGAGTCTGCCGAGGCCATCGGACCCCTTGCCCAAATCAAACTATCTGCATAAGGTTCAGGGGTTCGGGAAAGGTTCGGGAAAAGCATCTCGTCTCCAGCATCAGGGCTCATGAGATCAATCTCAAAGCGAGAAGGTATCTCAATGCAAGGCGGTCGCAGCAGCAGTGGCAGGAGTGAGGAGTGGTCACTGGCAACTGTTATGACCACAGTAGATGGAAACGGCTGCCTCGAGTTTCGTATGGCAGTTCCTGCGAAAAGAATTCTGCCAATGCAGGTTTGGCTTTGTTGGTATGACGCACAACGGTCTTGTATCAAAGGGCAAGTATGCCAATCAGTCTGTGCAACGTTGCAGCACTGCTGTTAGTAACTTAGATCTCGCACATGCCGAAACGAAGAAACCTAATGAAACATCTCGGCGTTCAGAATCCACTTTTTTCATGCAAGGCCGAGATGGGGTTGCTGAGGTGGGCGTTGGTGTCCCGCCTTAGTATCGAATACGAGCTTCATCAGTTTCGTAATGAGTCATGTATACAGCCACTATGATTCTCGGTGGGGATGCGAAAACCTTATCAAAAGCCAACAAAAACCTCTGCTCAAAGAACGAACGCCCTAATGCTTACATCCCTGACCCCCTGGACCCCTGGACCCGAAAGCACAAGTCACGAAGCAGAAAGACCTCTGGGACCCCGAAGCCTTTAGCCCTAAAGGCCCGACTCTGTCTAGTCGCCTCGTGGAGGCAGAGGGATCTGGTTGGGGTTCCCCTTGAGCCACTCAAGGACCTGGGAGACCAGTAGTACTGGTCGCAGTGATATGACATCTTGAGAAGTTGCGGTTCCGCTGGCCGTAGCGACGGTGATGTCAGCGAGCTGATGACGCTGGTGCTCAGAAGCAGATGATCGACCCGCAGGACGTAACGCTGGCTTCAAGCGGTGCTGTGTAGAGAGGGAAAAGAGATGGCGACAACAATGCAGATGGAAGTGATGCTGATGATGATGGTGATGATGGTGATGATGGTGATGATGGTGATGATGATGATGATGATGATGATGACGATGACAATGACGATGACGATGATGATGAGGATGACGATGAGGATG